TCCTCTCTATCCTTTCTCTCCTCTCTTCTCTCTCTCTCTCTCTCACTAATTGAATAATTTGACTGAAACATTTTGTTGTCAAACATCTACTGGACAGCATTTTTTTAAAAAAAAAAAAAAAAAAATTGACGCCATTTTATGTTTTTTTTTACTGAACTTTTGAAGCATGTTGATTTGATAAAAAATAAAATTAAAATTAAAATTTCAAATTTTTTTTTTGCTTTTTAAAAATTCTAAGGCAATTTAAAAGTTCCAAAAAAATTGAATTAATTTTAAAAAATTCACCCAAGACAAAAATGAGTCAAATTATATATATGTGTGTGCACTACAAGAAATTAGTCCTTTAGAGACTAATGTTTAAGGACTAATTAAATTTGGTCGCTAAAAATAATCTTTTAGGGACAAATTTAAATATATAATAATTTACTTACAGATTGTAAAAATAATTATTAATATTCTCACTTATTTACATAATTTTTTAGACTAATAAATTGGTTACTAATATACTTACAGAATTTTTTTAGACTAATAAATTTGGTTGCTAAAATATTATTAACATTTAGGGACCAAATATTTTCTCCATTATCAATTAAAAACAATTTGAGACCAATATATTTCATCATTTTAACAATTGAAAAGTCGGGCCCTCGTTCTTCACTTCAGCCCTAACTTGCTCATTCTCTCTCTCTCTCTCTCTCTCCCTCCCTCCCCTCCCTCCCTCCCTCCGTAATCGATCTTCATACCTGTAAGAGCTCCAAGGCAGATTGAGCTCCACATTTGAAGATTAATAGTCGTTTTTTCAATTAACAATTGAAGATTGAGCTCAATCTTCAATTGTCAATCTTCAATCTCTCGCACCTCAGTTTGCTCAATCTTCAGCCCTAAAGTCGGAGCTCCAAGGCAGATGGGAGCTCAATCTTCCTCAAATTTTGGTGTGTGTGTGTTGTCTCTCTCTCTCTCTCCGTAATTGATCTCCACAATCGACCTGTAAGAGCTCCAATTCGAACTTTCAATTTCTTATCGTAATCGATCTGTGTTTTACATAGATTGAACTTTCATTTCTTATCGTAATCGATCTGTGTTTTATGTCATACATGTTGATGCATGATATCAGTTATTGTTAGGGTTTGTTCTTCTCGATAGACTTGATACTTGTCCATGGACTGACCAAAGAATTTTGTTTGGGATTGATAGGTGGATTTGCAGTATTAAAGCTGCGATTAGCAAGGTTGAAGGTAAATTGTGCTTGATTTCTTGCCATTTTTTTGAATTTTCGCTTTCTGATTCTACAACCAATTAAAGAAATTAAGGCTGAGATCTATCAAATAAAAATAAATAATAAAAGGATCAACAGATTGTTGTTTGATGACAAACTACATTAACAATTATTCAATGATCAGGAATAACACACTATTGTTTTTTGATGATTTATTTGCCTCTCATTCTCTTCTCTGCGGCGCCCTCAATCGATGCTTCTTTATAAACACAAAATTTTTCAGTTTTGCACAAATAATAATTCAATTTTTTTTATAAAAAAAAAAACCATTTTATTTATTTATTTTTTTGCACATAATTTTTTTTTTTAATTTGAAAGTTGATATTTTAAAGTTTTGAATCAAAATAAATGTCAAATCATCATATTCATTTATAGTAATCATAAATGATGAACAATCATTATTTGAAGGGTAATTCCGACTATTAAAAATTTAATGGAATTTAAAGATTCAAAAAATCTTAGTTAGAACTTAATGGAATATAAGTTTATAAATTAGAAATTGCGTGTAAATATCCTTTTAATTTAATGTATTGCTTAATTTAATTTAATTTAATTTTCTATCAATTGACAAAAAGAAAAAATGAAAAAAGAGTACATTATCCATCTAAATTTTTTTTGACTAAAATAAGAATTTTTCCCCCCTAAAATCAATAAAACATGAAAAAAAAAATTAAATTAAAAACTGTTTTCGAAACACAAAACCAAACAGAATGAATCATTTTTTGAAGGAAAAAGAAAAAAGTGAAGGTACCTGAAGCAGGCTGGCTTATTAGGCGAATTGACGTGGGGATGAACATGAACCTTGAGATAATCCCTCCAAAACAATGACTTATCAACAAGGACATTAAAGCTTGTACCACTCCTTATTGGATCAAATAATTGCTTCCCGTTGTACTCCCCCTTTTCCTCCTCACTCATATCAAAAAAACTTTTACTTGCCTGCACCGTATCATCCATCAACTTCTCTTGCACACCATGATTGATTACCTAAGAATGCAGCCACTCAAGCTTCGAAAAAAAAAAACAAACAGACAGAGAAGCGGAACGAACTAATATCCACTTTTAATTATGTGATTTTTTTTTTTATGTGGCATAATTATTATTATTATTATTATTTGCACTACAAGAAATTAGTCCTTTAGAGACTAATATTTAAGGACTAATTAAATTTGGTCGCTAAAAATAATCTTTTAGGGACAAATTTAAATATATGATAATTTACTTACAAGATTGTAAAAATAATTATTAATATTCTCACTTTATTTACATAATTTTTTTAGACTAATAAATTTGGTTACTAATATACTTACAGAATTGTTTTAGACTAATAAATTTAGTTGCTAGTATATTATTAACATTTAGGGACCAAATATTTTCTCCATCATCAATTAAAAACAATTTGAGACCAATTATTTTCATCATTTTAACAATTGAAAAGTCGGGCCCTCGTTCTTTACTTCAGCCCTAACTTGCTCATTCTCTCTCTCTCTCTCTCCCTCCCTCCCTCTGTGATCGATCTTCATACCTGTAAGAGCTCCAAGGCAGATTGAGCTCTACATTTGAAGATTAATAGTCGTTTTTCAATTAACAATTGAAGATTGAGCTCAATCTTCAATTGTCAATCTTCAATCTCTCGCACCTCAGTTTGCTCAATCTTCAGCCCTAAAGTCGGGAGCTCCAAGGCAGATTGGGAGCTCAATCTTCCTCAAATTTTGGTGTGTGTGTGTGTCTCTCTCTCTCTCTCTCCGTAATTGATCTCCACAATCGACCTGTAAGAGCTCCAATTCGAACTTTCAATTTCTTATCGTAATCGATCTGTGTTTTACATAGATTGAACTTTCAATTTCTTATCGTAATCGATCTGTGTTTTATGTCATACATGTTGATGCATGATATCAGTTATTGTTAGGTGTTTGTTCTTCTCGATAGACTTGATACTTGTCCATGGACTGACCAAAGAATTTTGTTTGGGTATGATAGGTGGATTTGGCAGTATTAAAGCTGCGATTAGCAAGGTTGAAGGTAAATTGTGCTTGATTTCTTGCCATTTTTTTGAATTTTCGCTTTCTGATTCTACAACCAATTAAGAAATTAAGGCTGAGATCTATCAAAATAAATAAATAAATAAAAGGATCAACAGATTGTTGTTTTTTGATGAAACTACATTAACAATTATTCAATGATCAGGAATAACACACCTATTGTTTTTTGATGATTTTATTTGCCTCCTCTTTGGTGCTCTTTAGTATATTATTTCTTAAGTTATATAACTGTTGGCTATCTAATAATCAAAATATATAGGCAGAGACTGCTAAATTTTCCAATTACTGTAACATACATACATGTACATATATCTCCCTTTGTGCACCAATCTTTTTCATTCTGTTACTTGTATGTAATGAATATTTTCTTATAAAAAAAATCATAAAGAAAAAGTGTGATTTTTTTGGCAACGTTACCTACCAAATAAAAGGCCTGCTAGGTAATCCAAATCACTCAGGTCAGTGAGGACTCACCTACTCCTTATCTATCTAATAGTTTCTTCAATATACTGAATTCAAAAGGCAACCCACCGGACCAGGCTATAAGATAAGATACAGCTCTTCTTGTACTACTTGATTGGTAAGAAAGAGTTTCCGTAGGAACTAGAAGACTCATGTATGTACGGTAGCCCTCTCTTCTGCTACTGGTAAACTGTTGCACAGAAAGGCCAACAGATTCTGCTACTGAACAAATGATTCTGTCAAATTTTTGCCCCATAGCAACCCCCAAGGCACTTACAACACTTAGAAATTGAACTACCAATTTTAGAGATGGCATTGCATGCCACCATCTGCCAGTATTCTTCCTAAAAGCTCCAATAAATGTCTCTTAGGAAGCCTAGAGAACATTGATAAGCCAAACACCACTAGTGATACTTCTAGCACGGATTGTTGTATTGCTGGTAGGTTTGTAAATATTTTAGTTTTATATTCTTTTTTGGTTGGTTGTTTATTCTTTTCATCCAATGCATATGTTAGACATTGATATGTTTTTTCTATATGTTGTTTTTAATAGATACAACAGAGCGTAAGAAAGGACGTGGGAAGTCATGAAGCCTCGCATTACTCAAGATAAAAAGTCAAGGGAAGCGATTGGATGTTGAAATTTGTAGGATTACTGGGAATCCATTGGGACCATGGTCTAATAAATTCACCACCGAGTTGGGGATCGTCACTAGGCAATTTTCCCCACAAAATGTGCCTAAGTGGAGTTTTATTAGCCCCGAGGATAAAGAAACGCTAATTGCATACCTTCGAGTAAGATAGTTTTTTTTTAGTCTAGTTTAATATTCCATTTTAGTTTATGAATTATGTTGCTTAATGTTTTGAAGTGTTTAATTTTATTGGTATGGCAGGAAGGTTTCATTTTTAGTAATGAACCTTATGCTATTGCCTCTATCCTTGGAATGATGAAACTCCGGTACAAGACCTACCGCTTTAATCTATGCCAACATTTTAGAAGTTTCCCTACGATGGAATCAGCCCTTGCAAACCCACATGAAGATATCGAAAAAGAGGTGTGGCGATACCTGTGTCAATTATGGGATGATAAGACGTACTAGGTAAATTAAATAACAGCACATCCTACATATTTCTACCCCTGGTTGGACGGCAAACATGATTTTGTTTAGAAACAAATGAGGTTAAAAACATGGTTACTCAACATATGATGGAACAAAATGTGCAAGATTGTACTTGTAGAATCAAGCATCTTTTATTAATTGCATATTCTATTTTTGGTAAATATATTTTAAATTAATCATTGCAATAACATCACTACTCAAAATTGTTTTTTATTTTGAACTTCTTACAAAAAAATTTATATTTTAAAATTATTTAGTCGAATCTAAAATATTAAATCACTTTAGTCAATTTTTTTAAAAATAAAATAAAAATTCAGCTATGGAGAAAATATATTAAAAAAAAAACAAAAAGAGAGAGGCAAATTGCCAACAGGATTAACATATGTCTCTCGTTATTACTATATATAAAACAGGATTATAAAACAGGGTTTGATTCTCTTCATTTTATGTATGTAATAGAGGATTTTCATTATATATTTAAAAATTATAAAATAGAAACGTAAACTTATAATTATTTTAAATAAAAAGGATTATTATATTTAAAATTTAATAATATAATAAAACCTCTTCATTCTAAATATGCGAAGAAGAGGATGACAATCCCATAAAACATAAAGGAATGGGACCATCATAGATCTTTATTCTTTTATTTGATTTGGCATCCGTCCATTTTCTAGTTTGTTTTGATGGATTATTTTCACAACAATGATAAAGACCACTAATTTTAGAGTTTTAAAAAGACCACTAATGCCATAGTATTCAATAAAAAAAGAAAAAAAATACAACATCATGGTCAAAATATCAAATCATTCCTGATAGGGCCCACTGCCACATCATTAGTGATAGCACTAATTAGTGCGCGAAGAAGAGGACGACAATCCCATGAAACATAAAGGAATGGGACCATCATAGATCTTTATTCTTTTATTTGATTTGGCATCCATCCATTTTCTCTCTTACTCATTTTCCTTATTTTCATTGCCTAGGTATGCAGTGATGTCATTTGCCTTTTTTTTTTTTTTTGAAGGAAACAATTGACCCATTAGTTTTATGCTTTCATTTTTTTCAAAAAAAGCATATAATTTTTTTTCCCAATAAATTGTTTTGTGAAAAGGGTAAATTAAAAATACATCCCTTAAAATTTATTTAAATATTAATTGGTCTTCATAGTTTTAGAAATTACATCTTACCCCTTAAACTTTCTAATTTCTTAACTAATCACCTCTTTTATTAAGAAATCATCAAATCAATTAACAGTTTTTAATAATATCAAAATTTTATTTTAATTAATAATTTAAATAATTTTATTAATGTATAAGAAAGCCATTAGAAATTTCATTTTTTGCAGTTGATTCTGTTAAATACAACTTTTTAACGGGGGGGTATTTTTAATTTTCTAAAACATAAGGAACAATTCATATTTTAAACAAATATCAGGAGATATATTTATAATTTATACTTTTAAAAACAACTCACTTTTAAATAAATCAAATCTTTTTAAAAGAAATTGAAAATTGTTTTCTCACAAAATAAAAATGATGTTGTTTTTGTACTTTCCATTTATGCTTTTGAAAAACCCAAAAGATAAAATAAAATAAAATAATACAAACAGGCCACTGCTTAGAACACCTAACTAATTACAGACAAATATATCTCTCATCCTAATTACATTAGATAATTTCAAACATAATTGTCTAAATGTAACAATCTCATCTACCTCAACAGTTAATTGTCTTCAAAATGCAATATGGTTAAAATTTGTTCATTTATGCATGGATTATTCTAATTACGTTCAATCATACATCAATATTCACACTTTTTTTTATTTAAAAAAATAAATTACAAAAAAAAAAAAAACCCCAAGATTTGGCCTCTGTAACAAGATAATCGCTAAAATTTTAATTTGTCAATTTAAATCATAACCTTTTATTTATTTTTTCAATCTAAACGATTTGTCTATTTTTCTTAAGTAAAACTAACAAAAGAAAAAGATAGTTTAGTCATTAAACTCAACAAAAAAGATATTTTAGGCATTTTGTGTACACTTATATTGAGTTTAATGGTTAAAATATCATTTTTCCGTTGATTTTACTTAAGAAAAGTAGGCAAATGATTTAGATTAAAAACAAATCAAAATAGTAACGTTTAAATTGAGAAAATTAAAAATTTAGAGTTTATTTCTTTATAGAGGTCAAACGTTGAATTTTTTTTTTCTTATTTTTTTTTGTAATTTCCTAAAAAAAAAGGAGATTTTTTTTAAGGTCCCTAATAATAGTAATTTAGAGGATAAAGGACACCATAAAAAAGAATAATGTCTCAAGTCCTTCAACTAATAATGCGCGCTTTTTATTTACTTTTTGGACCAAAATACCCTTTACAATCAACGGGGAACTTAAACTACATTCCGATGACTGATCAGTTCCACACTTCACATCTAACCATCTTCACGAGCAAGAGAAGAGCAAAATTAGGGTTTTCAAATCATCTTCACTATCGACATTAGGGTTTCATCATCTTCTACGAAAATCTTTTCCATTCATTTCTCACAAATTTTTCTGACTTGTTTTCACTGTTTATTGTCATCACAGTTCATTTTCATCACAGTGTACCTTCATCTCAGGGTATATCAGTTCGTAATTAGGGTTTCACAATCACTCTGGTAAGTTTTTCTACAATCCAATGAGTTTTTCTTTAGAAACACAGTTAATTGCATTTTATATTAGCCTTTCATTAATAGGGTTTCAATTTCGTAATAAAAGCTACATGAATTTAAAAAATGTTATATCTCTCATTTTGAACTTATTCTTGAACATTGTTGTGTGATTTTGTCTGTAAATTTTTCTGGTTTCAGAATTTTTCTGGCATTTGCTTGATCTATGTTTCTTCTTTGAATTTTCTCTAATTTGTTTATGTTTATTCTATCATTTTCTCTAGCATGGTTAATTTCTCTGTATTTCTCTGTGTAATTTTCAAATTCAATTCATTCAAATTTCTCTGCTCTATAAATTTCTCTGGCATTTTAATTTTCTCTGGAATGTGTAATTTTCTCAAGCATTTTCATTTTCTATGCTTGCTAAATTTATATTTCTTTTTTGAATTTTCTTTGGCTATATATTATATCTATATGTAATTTTACTCTCTTGTCCGTGTCTTTTTTTTTTTTTTTGATAATGCAAGTATCCCCAACCCTCTGGTTTTCCGGGAAGTCAGGACTAATCCTGCGAGGTAAGTAGCCCGGGGGAAGCCGTGTACCCTTCTCAAACTCTTGTCCGTGTCTATGTTTTTATGGCATTTATAATTTTCTCTGGCCACATCACTTTTCTCCCTTGTATGTGTCTGTCGTGTTTAATTTTCTCTAATTGTGTCTTTAAATTTCTCTACCATTTTCATATTATGGAATGGAAATTTTCTCTGGCTTGCCATGTTTAATTTTCTCTGGAATGTGTAATTTTCTCTGTTATTTTCATTTTCTGTGCTTGCTAGATTTATATTTCTTTCTTGAATTTTCTTTGGCCATATTTTACATCTATATGTAATTTTTAGTAATTATTCAAAATTTCTCTGTCTTATGTTGCTTTATTTATTTTCTCTGGAAATGGAAATGAATTGTAGCTGCATGTATTCCACATTACTTTTCTCCTTTGCTTCTGTATGCCATGTTTTTAATTTTCAGTGCCTAATTTTCTCTGACATTTATAGTTTTCTTTGGCCACCTTAGTTTTCTCCCTTATATGTAATTTTCTCTAGGAATGGAATTGAACTGTGGCTACATGTATTCCATATTATTTTTCTCCCTTGTGCCTGTTTGCCATGTTTTTAATTTTTAGTGTCTAATTTTCTCTGGCCACCTTAGTTTTATCCCTTATGTGTAATTTTCTCTGGGAATGGAAATGAACTGTGGTTGCATGTATTCCACATTACTTTTCTCCCTTGTGTCTGTTTGCCATGTTTTTAATTTTCAATGTCTAATTTTCTTTGACATTTATAATTTTCTCTGGCCACAATAGTTTTCTCTCTTATGTGTAATTTTCTCTGGGAATGGAAATGAATTGTGGCTGCATGTATTCCACATTACTTTTCTATCTTGTGTCTGTCTGCAATGTTTTTAATTTTCAGTGTCTAATTTTTTCTGACATTTATAATTTTCTCTGGCCGCCTTAGTTTTCTCCTTATGTGTAATTTTCTCTGACATTTTCAATTTTCTCTGGGATTTAAAGTTGACATTTTTATGTTTCCATTGTCTAGAAACGGCGAAACGTAAAACCAGCAAAACACCAGAAACACCAAGAAATAAACAAAAACTCTCTGAGTCTTCTTATGATCTTAGATAAAAAAACAGCAAAACACCACAAACTCCTCACCAAAAAACACAAGTCCAAGGTGATGAAGGAACAAGCCTCAAGATGAGTACCCCAACTTAAAAAGACTCAAGCTCAAGGGCGAAAAAACCTGTTAAACTCCAAAGAAAGAGAGCTCATTAAAGCATTCAATATCGATCCAACCTCTCATCTGTTATCACATTTTTTGAAACACTTAAATTCAATTCAAACCAACTTGAAGAGCTTCAAAGGACGTCATTCTGGTATTTGATCCAAGTTCTAACCATTGGAAGGATGGATCCAAGAAAGTCTAGGAAATCTGATGATGATGTAGTTGTAATAATCCAATGCTACAATGAAAAAATGAAAGCATTCACTGCTGATAAAAACAAATTGACCTTTACAACCAACGACATGACCTTGATTTTTGGTTTGCAAGGTGGTAAAGGAGCCATGTCACTAAAATACTCAAAAAAGCCAAACACTGCATTCCTAAGGCGAAGATTCCTAAAGGACACAAGACTCATTGATCCTGTTCTTAAGAATGCCTTAGTCAAAGTAATGAAAGGCAGACAACCAACTGACTTCAAAGATGTAGTAATCATTGTTACCTTGTACTTGTGTCTCACCCTATTTTTTGCAACAAGTGGGAATTCAATAGGGTGAATTTTTATCAAGTACGTCAAACCTCTTGAATCAATGAAGCAATATGATTGGTCAGAAGCTATCGCAGCAACATTGATCGATTCTATCACAACATTGCACATAACTTCAAAAAAAGTTACGGGGTGCATCATTGCATTGCTGGTAAGTAGAATTTCCATTCAAATTTACAGTTATGATATTTACAAATTTGTGTGTTTAGAAAAATTAATTACTTCAATTTCCATCACAGTATTGGCTATGTGAACATGTGAATATCATCGATTTGGAAGACAGTAACACAACTGAATTCCCAAGATGTACCAAGTGGAACCTACAAAGCTTGACCAAACAGTTACAGAAGACACCAGTCTACTCTCTTGTATCTCGACAGGTTAGATTCCTATTGTCATTGAAATCTCAGTGAAATTCTAAAATTTCTCTGACCACTGGTTTGTTTCCCTTATTGTTCCTTGCTTGATTTGATCAATTCTCTCTGCGATGCAATATCTTATATAGAATAACTTATATGCCTTGACTAATTGAGAATAATTTTCTATGAAATTTCAATTTATGTTGCTTGTTTGATTACCATTGGTTTATTTCTGCCCTTGTAATGAATTCTCTCTAAAATCTAAATTTCTCTTACCACAATTATAGTAACATTAACTTATATTCATTGATTGATTTTATCTGATATCTAAATTATGTTGCTTGTTTAATAATTTTCTCTGACCTATAAAATTATTTCTCCTTAATTGGTTTTCTCTGACCATTGGCATCTGGTTGATCTTATTTGAATTTTTCTCTTAGTGAAATTTTAATATTTCTCTAATAAAAGAGCTTCCTATTAAAAATAGATAACAAGGAGCTAGAGAAAAACCTATCAGAGGAGTTTTGTCTTGGTAAAAAGAAGAAGAAAGAATCAAAAAAGGCATTGGTCAAATTCAATGAGAGATTAGAAGATTCAACTGAAGAAGAAGCAGGGAATGAAGAAGGAGAAGGCAACACAGAAGAATAAGAAGCAAGCAATGGAGAAGAAGATCAAATAAGCAGTGCATAAATGGAAGCTAGAGAAGAAAATGAAGAAGTAAAAGACAAAGAAGAAAATGAACAGAAAGAAGAAGAAGACAATGAAAAAAAAGATGAAGGCACTGAATCTAAAGAGGAAGAAGAAAACAATAAGGAAATGGATGAAGAAGAACATAATGAGTCAATAGACCAACATCATAATAGCATTTGTGGCTCAACAATGCATCAGTCTCAAGAATCTGAGGAATCTAAATATGATCAAATTGTTAATCTATATCAAAGACTAAAGACACTTTCTAAATTCAAAATAGAAGAAGAGAAAAATTGGAATGAATTACTTCAAGAAAAGGACATTGTAATAAGAACCTTGACATCAATTAACTCGAAACTTCAAGAAATAGACAACACAAACCAAATGAAACTAAGGATGTTGGAGATTCAAAAAAATGATGATAAAAAAACAATTCAACAGTTGAGATGTTTAATTTTAGAGCTTGAAATTGAAAATGATAGATTGCATGAACAAATTTAAGAACTATCCGTTCAACTAGCAACACAACCTTACGGACCACCAGCACAAGTTCAACCCCAAGGTCAGTGAAAATCTTGAACCACATAAGTCAGAGAAATTTTTATTTATTACAATTTTTTCTGTCAATGGTAATTTTCTCTGGAAGTTAAATTTTTCTAACCACATTAGTTTGGCTAGTTTGATTTCTGCTGCTTATTTGATTTTCTCTATCTATTTGATTATTTGATTTTTGGTGCTTGTTTGATTTTCATTGTATATAGTTAGAATAGAAGTAGAACAACAACCAACAACCCAGCAAGAACAAGTGGCACACAAACAACAACCAAAACAAAAGACAAAAGTCTATGGTAACTAGAAAATATTGAATCAAATAAATTTACATATTGAAATATGATCTGTTACTTTAGAGAAATTTAAATTTTACTGATATTTTCAATGTCTACAGTGAAAAAAGATCCTACATCAATGATAAAGAATTTAAAGGCAAAAGAGAGGAAAGAAAAACAACAAGATCCCGACTTTCAATATCCCAAAGTTGTGAAGGTGATTAGAGGTTCAAAACAAGCTGCAAAGAAAATAGAGTAAACCACCAAAGACAAAGAAGTACTTGATGCCGATGAGTACGTCTTGCCTCAACCAACAAACATCAGAAAATCTTGGGTTTTTCCACAAACTCTACCAGTTGCAAAATTGGTAAAAGAACATGTAAAAGATATTTTGCAGCACATATCAGATGTGTCTGGACTCGAGTAAGTACAACAAATAAAATAGAAAATAACAAACAACAATTTACTAACTTATATTGCATTAATAACTACTAAATCCCTTATTTGTCATCTTGTAGGCCTTTAATCTAGACAAGTGAATTGAATCTCATTACTTTTGAAGATATTAAAAACCTAATAAAGGAAAAAAGAAATTGCCAACAATGTAAGTTTTTCATCAAAATTTCTTTGCAATATTCCATCAGTCTTTATAAACCAATGTTACAATTATAAATAATATTTCTCTGCAATATTCCATAAGCTTGGTATATTACTACTTTTTTATTTGATTTTCTTTGTAATTTACTTACTACTTTCTCTTATTAAGATACTTCTTGAAACCAGTTGTGCCACTAGTCTAATTTTCTCTAGTTAGTTATGTACATTTAAAATTTCTCTGTGTGTATATTTCTAAAATTCTTGTCATTTCAACTTTCTCATAATCATTTTTTGATTTTCTCTGACCGCATAACTTCATCAAGATGACGGAAAATCAAACTTTCCGAGTCTCATTATTTGACAAGCATATTGAAACCGCATAGAGGAACCTCCCAATAAATACTGAGGGCAATGAAAAGTCAACAGATGAAAATCACTGGACGGTGCTTGTCTTGGACAAACAAGACAATTTATGGAGGTACTACAACTCACTAAGGCCAATGAGGGATGATGCACAAGACAAACATATCAAAGATGCAAAACAATTGGTAACGAATGCACATTTCTCTGATCCATGATAATGTTTATGTGATGATAATTTTCATAGAATCCCATTAATTTGTGTGTAAATTTCTCTGTTATTTAAAAATTATTTTTTTTTGCAGCAAAATTATGTGGAGAATTTTCTAAAAGCTTGTCTTGAAAGAGAGGCACAATCACAACCCTATTTTAAATTGATAGACTCACAAAACACAAATTATGACTTTCAATATGTCAACAATGGTCCACACTAAGCCAGTGATTCGTAAGTTTCATACAACATCTATAAATAAGATAATCTAATTTGAATGTTTCTTAAAACTAACTATACCTATAATTTGTATGCAGTGTGGATTGTGGTTTCTTTGTATGCTACATAATGAGACAATATACCAACTATGAACCTATCAGCTCGACATTGTCAACACAAGATGTAAGGTTGATGAGGGTAGAAATCATAAAGAGATTTATGACCGAAGTTGGCCGGTCATGGACAGAACCAGTTCAAATACCACCAGAAGAAGAACCAAAAGTATAATAGTGAAAGGAAGACAATGCCCACAATGTAATTAGGATCAATTTTTTTTTCTTCATACATTGAAGGAAAGATGATGTTTGACATATATGTATATATCTTTTTTTGACTAATGTAAATTTCATAGCTATCAATGGTTAAATATATATATATTTTTATAATGCATGCTAAGTGGTGATTGTCAACATAATCCACACAGAAAATTGTCTGAATAAATTCTCTAGTATGAAGTTACCAGAATTTCACAGAGAAATTTAACCCGTATCGTGCCAAGAGGGTGTCTATATGATCATGTAATATATAATGCACTGTGTTGATACAAAACAATCATCAAATTCAAAAAAAACAACGCACACACTAATTTTCTCTGTTATTGACAAATTTCTCTAAATGAATTTGACCTCACAAAATACAATGCACAGAGTAATTTTCTCTACTAGTGGCAAATTTCTCTAAATGAATTTCACTGGTATTATAAACACACTGCCTATAGTAATTTTCTCTGCTACTGGCAAATTTCTCTGGATGAATTTGACTGGTATTATAAAGACACTTCTAAAGTATGTTTCTAAAAACACAATACAAAAAGTAATTTTCTCTGCTATTGAAAAATTTCTTTGAATGAATTTGATTGGTATTATATACACACTGTCCACAAAGTACATTCCGAAAAACAAGATACACAAAGTAAATTTCTCTGCTACTGGCAAATTTCTCTGGATTAATTTAACTTGTAATATAAACACACTGCCCAAAGTATGTTTAAAAAACACAAGTGTATTGATCCAGAAATTACAGAAAAAATTTCAAAGAAAATACTAAACACATCGCACAACAAATATGTTATTTTTGTAATAAGATCCTCTAACATCCTCAAATGTATTATTTAATCAATAAAATGTATTATCCTCAACTATTTAACAAAGGTTCCTTCCATGTCCTCTTATTATGGCGACCAATACTTTCACATCGATTACACTTCATCACCCTTTTAAACTCTTCAATAGAAGCAATTCTGTTCTATTTTGGCCTCCCAGCTGGTCTCTTACTCAATGGAGGTAAAATCATAGCATCATCAATGCTAGATATAGGTTTTTCAACAGTTGGAACTAGGCCAATCGAAAACAAGTATGCTTGATGATACATATCAGCATGAAAAAATGGTTCAACAAATGAATTCAAATTCTTTCTGCTCCTAAAAATTGCAGCAACAACATGTTGACATGGATGCCCATTTATTTTTCATTTTCGACATGAACAATTTCTCAACCCAAGATCAACCATAACTGAAGGAAAACAATGCACTTCAAACACATTATTAGATGATAAACTCATATTCCATGTCCTTCCATCTGTGAAAGCCTTCTCCAATACACTATCTATACGAGGACGGAGAACTTTGTTCCATTTACTAGAAAGCAGCCTTCTATTAGACCTCATATTCATGATTTGCAACCGTATATGTCCACCAAATTTGTATTAGCAAATGCCGAGCTTCTCGTATCCATGAATTGAATGACTCAGCAACATTTGAATGCATTTCAGCATAATGTTTTCCCTCAAAATATGCATCACTCCAATTTTCATATGATAAATTTCTCAAGAAAACACTTACAATGTCACCTCCCTTACTTTTTAAGTCATTTAACTTGAAATGAAATGATGCCTTTATTGGCGCATATGTACAATCTGAAAACTTGGACCCAATTGTTTCCCTAACCAAATTTGTGTTTCCACATGATAACCTATCCCTCAAATTTCTCTTTAGATGTTCAAGACAAAATCCATGATAACAATTAGGGAAAAATCTAGCAATCCTACCACAAAACCACAATGTCGATCTGATATGAAACTTATCACCCTCTTCGATCCCCATACTTCACATAAATGTTCAAGGAACTAACACCAATTGTCTTTATTCTCAGTATTAACAACGGCAAAAACTATAGAAAAAAAAACCTACAAAACAAATAGGAACAAGTAGATTAGATATACACATGTAGAGAAAATTAGAACAATAAACAGCCAGAGAAATTTGACACTGCCAAAATCCAAAGAAACTTCACACAATGGCCAAATCCAGAGAAAATTCACTGAAAGGAAACATCCAGAGAAAATTTACTTAGTTACCAACTCTAGAGAAAATTCACACAGTGCCAACATCTAGAGAAAATTCACCTAGTGACCAAATACAGAGAAAATTCACACAGTGGCACATCTAGAGAAAATTCACACAGTGCCTACCTCTAGAGAAAATTCATACATTGGCCAGCTCTAGAGAAAATTTAAAATGTCAGAGAAAAATCACAAAACATAACTACAAAAATAGAAAATTCACTCAATTCCCACATGTATAGAAAATTCACATACTTAGAGAAAATTAGATATGTTTACAATTACCTTCATTCCCATCTTTCCCCGTCGCAGCAAGCATATCTCCTTTGTATTGTCCTTTCAAAAATGTTCCATCAAGAAACAACAATGATCGACAATATTTGAAACCAACAATGCATGTATGAAAAGCCACAAACACTCTTTTGAAATTGTTATCTTCAAAATCTAACTCAAAACGATTACCTGGATTATTCTTCAATGCCTTATTAAAATACCACCGTAATTGATCGAATGACAAACAAGAATCCCCATATGTACTACATTTTGTTTTTCAACCCTCAACCAACCACAGTTATAACTGATCGAGACTCCATACTTGTCTTTCATTTCTTTGACAACATCCACTGGATGAGTTAAAGGTTTTGCACTTACCTCTTCAAGTATCAACCCAAAAACTAAACTGGAAGTCATCCTACCATGTTTACTAGTACAAACCGCCACACCACACGTATGTTCATTGTTCAAAGTTGTGACAACCCTCACCACTGTTTACTGATAATAACACTGATTAGTGCTAATCCATGATTAAGCATGTTGATTGACTGACTGACTGACTGAATCACTAAACTGATTGATTGATTGTGCTGGTTTGAATGCAATTCTATCTGTTGACTGTTAAATTACCTGTTCATGTTTTATGTTTTAAACTGCGAATTGAAGGCCTTATCGGCGGCCGAATCTGAAATTGATGGATGTTTTGTGCTAATTAAGATTTATATGATTTTATGGTGTATTTAATTGAAATGTGATTCTGTATGATTAAATTAGATTAAGTAAGCTAAATTACATAAGTTGGGCCTTTTTACTAATTTGCCATCTAGTGGACTTAACTAGGCTATTGTTTAGTCTTCAATTACATATGTTGGCATCACTTTTCCTTAGCCATTTTCTTGAGACAAGCCGACCAAGAGAAGAGAGAGAGAGAGAGAGTGAGAGAAATTGAGTTCCATCTTGTGAATTGCTTGGTGAATTAAAGAAATTGAAGGTTGATTTCATAGTTGAGCTTCCTACACTTGATATTCAAGGTCTAAGGTAGAGAATCCACCTTCTTAAACTTGTCTTTAAGTTAGTTCTTGCTTGATTCTTGTTATATTGAATATTGGAATCAAAATTAGCTTAATATGTTGAATTGAGTAGGAATTCATGCATGCATGTTGCCATTCTTGAGTTTTGAGGATTTTTGTCCGTGGAATTCCATATGCATGTTCATATTATAGTTCTAGTTCATGAATTCCTCATGATTTTGAAAGGATTGGCTCATTTGTTCTTGTAATAAAAGTCTTGAGGTTGATTAAATCCATGCATGTTACATTTAAAGTATGTTCTTGAAGTTTGGTTTGAAATTGGGTTTAATTGACTTACCTTTGGGCTTTGATTTCTCAAATTGATCTTCAAAACATGTTATACTATGAGTTTTAAAGTGTTTTTCAGAAAATTAGCCCAAGAGGATCGAATTTGGTGTTTTAAAACTTGGTTTTGAGCTGGAGGTTCGAATCTAGAATTTTCAGGATTTGGACTTCCGCTCGAGCAGGAAAATCGTGTTCCCAGCACTTTCATTTGTTTTACAGTCCGCTCGAGCGGAAGAATGTACGCTCGAGCGGGGAGTTGTGTCACACGCTCGAGCGGTTGTCGAGCGCCCATCGAGCGTGATTTTCACCCATCCAGTACTTTTGTCACGTTTTGCAGACCGCTCGAGCGGGAAGGTTTACGCTCGAGCGGAGAATTTTGTTTGCATGTCCGCTCGAGCGGGGAAACCCCCGCTTGAGCGGGACCTCTGTTTTCTGAAAATTCTGAAAATATTTTTAAAGTGCATCTTTGCATCTTCATTCCATTCTAGGCATTCTTAGGCCTAGTTTAAGACATCTTGATGAGGATATTGATGTAGAACCACACCGAGGTAAATTAGGGATTAAGTTATTATTTCCCAACAGTGTAGCTTAGTGTGTGTTCACTTTGTAGCTGTGTAGGGTTGGCATCCGAGGACGCGTACCAGCTTATCTGTAGCCCAGAACTCTGTGAGTAACAATGTTGTAAAGATATGTTCAATAATGATTATCTTCTGAACAATTGAACTGTGCTGTTTTCTGAAATGATACTGTTACTGAATGAATGATGTCCTATTTGTGAACTGTATTCGTGGCATCCATAGCAACCTACTGTTACTGTACTATACTGCTACTGTCACAGAGATCTCTGTCGGTTCCCATGTTGGAACCACTACTGTTTGCTGATATGATGGCCATCAACTGACTATTCGGTCTATTAAGACCTACTGTACTGCTTTGCTATTGGATGTACCACATATGACTGCTATGACTGAATAACCGTTCTGAATGACTGAAATACTGTTTAACTGACTGTTTTCAATACTGAAAGGACATTTATTCTTAACCTTTTTACGCATATGTTATTCACTGGATTTTAGCTCACTGCTCATATATATATGTAGGTGTACAGGCACCAGACCGTTGCTGGGAGCGTCGGGCTAAGCTCCCGTTTTGTCAAAGCCAACCACTGTGCCTCACTGCGAGGTTCCAAGTCCTTTAAGCCAGGGCTTTTGGGGTGTTTTAGTTTCCCCCTCCCCTTTGTATCTGTTTTATAATTACTGTATAGACTGAATGATATCTTACTGTACTGTTCTAATAGGGATTAAGTCCGTGTCCTGAATGATTGTATATATTGTACATACTATTTTGGTACTGATTGTACATGTGTATTAAAAAGTC